AAGCTTGCAGGAATTAAAATTTGTCTAGAGAGAAAAATATCTATATTCCAAAGGACTAATCTTCATTTTTGAATGTTTAATAGAGCAAGAGATTAATAAAACCCAAGTACAGTTTGTTGTAAAAGTGCCTGCAACTTTAACTAGCCAGGCTCACTGTGCTGATCCATTGTCTTATTATTTTTTTACTCCTCCGTGGAGGACATGTTCGTTGATTTTTAGAGAGAGGAGAAGAGAAACATCCGTGTGAAAGAGAAACATTGATCAGTTGCCTTCCACGTGTGCCCTGACCAGGAACCGAACCTGCAACCTTTTGGTGTACAGGGCAACATTCGAACCAATTGAGCCACACTAGCCACGGCTAACTCCTTTAAAGCTTTAGCTTGTTTTTTTATTGTCCCCCTGGACTCCTGTCTTACCTTGCTACCTAGAACCCCATGGCTTTGGCACCTTTACTTCCCTTGTTTTCTTTTTCTTCTACTTTACTGTGACTAGCACCACTACCACCATATGACTACCACCTCCATCATCACCCCCACCACCAGCACTACCACCCTTACTACCACCAGCACTACCACCACCACCACTACTACCACCATCTCCACCACTATTACCACCACCACTAACACCACCACTATCACTACTACCACCACCACCACCACCACTATTACCACCACTACCATCACCACTACTCCACCATCACCACCACCACCACCACCACCACTATTATTAGCTAATTTTTCTAGTGCTTATTACATGCCAGGCACTGTTTAAAATCCTTTAAATGTATTAACTCATCTAATCCTCATACGCAAACTCTATGAGATAGATATTATTATCACCGCCATTTTACAAAGGAGGCAATGAAAGCACGGAGAAGGGTTTCTTCTCTTTGTCTGTGTTCTCTTGGGCAATCACATCGTTGGCACTTCAAGGACAGCCTTATGTAGGGGATGACCACATAGAGCCAGTCCTCATTTCCTGGTCCCAGACCAGTAGTTCCAATTGTCTGGTGTACATGGCAAACTCAAGATGTTTAGAAATAAGCTCATAACTTTCTCCCCCAAACTAATTACCTGACTCTGAATGATCTTACACGTCATCCAGGCCCCAGATGGGAATCCTTGCAGCCATTCTTCACCCCTCCTCCCACTCCCAAACCAGGAGAACCACAGTTGGTTAGCTGTTGTGGCAGATTCTATTGGTTGTCATTCTCCACTTCTTCCTCAGTTAAAAGAAAACTGATTACTCAGGAATATGAACATCAGGAGAAGTCCTAGCTTCAGGTCAGGAGCAAATCCTGGCCATTCTAAAGCAGTCGTCTAGCTTCTCTTGCTAGCAGTTTAGGAGAGGAGTGTGCCAGTCTGAACAGTAAGATGTGAAGAGAAGGGGGCTTTGAAAAAGAAGCACATGGGAAGGGACATCCTCTTCTTCAACTGGACACGATCGTACCTGCGTGTGATGCCTGCGACTGTGACAGCATCTTGTGACCGTGACAGGGACCAGCCTGAGGATTAAGGCCAAAGGATGCTGAAGACGAAGAGAAAAAAAGACAGAAAGAACCTGGGTTGTCAGTGATGCTGACCCCTCAAATTACTCAATCCTGGAACCAACGGGTACTTCTGGACTTCTTGTGTGGAATAATATCCCCATGCATTAAGACATTGAATTAGGGTCTTCAATTCTTTACAGCTAAATATATCCTGTGCCTTCTATATTTTCCTGTATATCTTCTCATCCCCTCAGTTGCCTGCCTGGCAAACTCTCACTTCAAGGCTTAACTGTCATCTCTTCTGTGACAGGCCACACTGATATGTTGTCATTGGTCTTGTATTTATTTCCATCTAACTCTCCATTAGGTTATAGGACCCCTGGAGGGACTATTAATTTTTGTATTTCTAGTGCCTAGATGTTTGTTGAATGAATTAATCAATAGATGGGTTGGTTTACTTTATATTTTGGTTCAATTTTGGGCTCCCACAAGATTTTATTGAAGTGTCCAATGTTAGCTCTTAAGATAGAAACACAATTTTACAAGCATGTTAATAAACTTGAATGAATTCATTACTGAACACCTCAGATCTTACACCAGGTGCTGTTAAGCAGCTTAGGGAGAGAGAAGCGTGAGGAGTAGAGAATGTGAACAGCTTCAGACAGGAAGGACTAAAATAAAACTACTCTGGGAATTCATTTACAAAAGGTGTCAAGGGTAACAAAAAGGCGGTAATCCTCTGTGTCAATGTAACCTTCAGGAAAAGACCTTCAGTTCTAAGAAATGGAACCGCTTTGAGTGATGTATTTTCCTCCAGAAGGTAACCTCCACTGGACGCTCCCAGAGATTTCATTTAAAAGAGGTGAAACTTTTGGAGAATAACGCCAAGGCGGTATTAGATGTATACTTAAAATATCAAGAAATCATTGATATTATCTTCTATACTTAGAAGATATCATTACCAACTCATGAAAATCCCAAGCACTGCTCAGCACTGTTCAACAGCACGTTCTTCAACGACGAAAACGTTGTGTATCTGCATTGGGCATTAAGGTTGCCTCTAGCCCAGTGATGGCGAACCTTTTGAGCTCGGCGTGCCAGCATTTTGAAAAACCCTAACTTAACTCTAGTAAGCCTTTGAGATGTGGTTAGTGGGACTGAGGAATTGAATGTTGAACTTAATTAAATGTAAATATGAATTTACATGTAGCTGGTAGCTACCATGTTGGACAGTGCAGGTATATGTTTTACTTGCCCTGGTGCTGCTAGTCAGGATAGGCTACCAGCCTCACATATAGAAATTTTTTGATATTTGCAACCATAGTAAAACAAAGACTTATATTTTTGATATTTATTTTATATATTTAAATGCCATTTAACAAAGAAAAATCAACCAAAAAAATGAGTTCGCCTGTCACCTCTGACACGCGTGTCATAGGTTCGCCATCACTGCTCTAGCCACATGTACTTATTGAGCCCTTGAGATGAGGTTAGTGGGACTGAGGAATTGAATGTTGAACTTAATTAAATGTAAATATGAATTTACATGTAGCTGGTAGCTACCATATTGGACAGTGCAGATATATGTTTTACTTGCCCTGGTGCTGCTAGTCAGGGTAGGCTAGACCTAGACTGTATTGCAGTAACAACCCCAAAATATTAGTGGCTTAAAGCAATAAAGGTTTATTCCTCTTTCCCGCCACACATCCATCATATGTCATCAGAGGACTCTGTTCTACGTCTCTTCATTCTGGGGCCATCCTGAATGCTTCTGATCATTGTAACAGAGGGAAAAGAAGAATGATCTGGAGGGTCTTGCACTGGCAATCAAATGAATGCTGGGCCTGGAAGTGACACATATCACCTCCACTCACAATTCACTGGCCAGCACGAAGATAGCCCTGCCCACCCACAGAGGGCCAGGAAGTGCCATCCAGTCATGGAGCTCTGCAGGCAAATATTAGGTGAGTAGCACTCGTGAGTAAGTAAGGAAGCATCACTAAAATAACTCACATATCACACTGAACAAAATTAAATTATGTTTTTAAAAAGTCAGGTGCATGTCATACAAAAGAATCAATAAAAACATGGGAGGAAAAACATCTGCACAAACACCAGGCGTGCTCCTTTCACAAAATCAAGGAAGAAAGAGTGGAATGGTATTTTGCTGTTTTATATAAAATTTTATTAAGTTTTTAAAGAAGTGAATGTATGAATTAAAGATAAAGAAGGAGGCATAAGCATAATTTATCTTCCATTGTAATTAAAGAGGATAATTTTGATGATTTCTATTTTTTAATCCCTTTTTAACAATAAAACAAATCTACCCATTCTTGCAACAATAGGATCTTACTATAATTTCAAGTATAGTCTGTCAACAGCTGTTCAAAGCCATTGTCAGACAATGTTGGAATTAGAGGGGACCTTAGAGAATCTCCAATATGAGGATCTCTCCTACAGCTTTCCATATCTTCTGGGTGCAGAGGAAGCCCACTAGAGTGTGGAACTCATTCCATTGGTGGCAGGTTGAAAGTGTTGGAGAACTCTTCCTGCTGTGTAAACAGCACTTTCTCTGAGCTTTCTACGTATTTGTCCTGGCTCCACAGCCACCCAGCAGAAGGCCAACCACTTTGCTCTGTGAGAACCCTCAACCCTCTGGATGGAATTTCTCTGTCTCCTGGGTTTTCTCTCTTGAGCTGTTCTTCCTTGTGCCTTGATCCCCATGCCCTCTGTTCTCCTCGTAGCCCTTCTTGAAGCATGTGGCACAGAGCTGGGGCTAGGGGTGCAAAAACCACAGACTTTGGGGACAGAGTCTGAGTATCAAATCCTAGTTATTTACATTTGATTCTGTGTTCTCTGTGAAGTGGGGAAGAGCTACATCCACCTCTTAGTCTTAGGAGGATCAAACAGAATTGGATCTGTAAACTAATAAATGCACAAGAAATATTTACTTCCATGTGGTGTTTCTTTCAAAGTGTGATGGATAGAGTTAAACTTCATCGTTTTGATGTGATCTCATCAGAGGAGTAAACTCCATCCCCTCTCTGTGACACCATCATATTCCTTCATTTATATCACTTAAAAGTGTAGCATTATCTTTTGTGGTCAGTCAGACATACTACTAATTCATATTGTACCAATTTCCACTGTCACAGCCTTATTTAACTTGTTGACATTTTAAGCCTTAAGTGTAAGAAGTTCAATCAGATGAAATTTGATTGGAATAAAGGTTGTATTGGCTTGTTGCAAATTAGTTATTTACATGTTGTTTGTTTTTAAGACTTTATTTTTTTTAGGGCAACTTTAGGTTCAGAGAAATATTCAGCAGAAGTTACAGAGAGTTCCCATATACCCCAGCCCCCACCAGGCATGGCCTTCCCCGTTGTCAACATCCCCAACAGAGTAGACATTCATTATAGTTGATGAACCTACATTGACACATCATTATCGACCAAAGTCTACTAGTGTAGTTTACATTAGGATTCACTTTTGGGGCTGTACATTCTATGGATTTGGACAAATTTATAGTGACATGTCTCTGCCGTTATAGTACCAAACATAGTTTCACTGCCCTAAGAACCCTCTGTGCTCTGTCTTTTCATCATCTCCTCCCTCCTAACCCCTGGCAACCCCTGATCCTTTTACTATCTCAATAGTTTTGTACCTTAACTCTGGTGTACTACCTTGGAGGAGTTAACTTCTCTGAGCTTCCGTTTTCTCCTTTGTAAAATGGAAATAATAAATGAATAATAACAGTATTTACTTCAGTGGGTTGTATGAATAAATTGTGTACCTTCTCTGATTTTTACTCAACTGATTAATAAAAATATTTGACCAGAATGGCACTCAAGACTGAACCTTGTAACACACCACTATCAGCCTTTCTCTAGGTTGAATAACCACTGTTCTTTGAATTCACATATCTGTCCCATCCACCCAGCCCACACAGTTTTGTATTTCAGGTATATCTGGACAGGCTTTGTCACATGCCTTACCAAAACCAAGTACTCACTAAGGTAGATTTCGTTGGACTGTTTGTATCCCTTTTCCCTTCTTCCATCTCAGATTTTGGGTGGATAGGTACTATTTTTTAATTCTTTCTTAATGAGTTCCTCCTTGTTCTTCTGAAGGATCCATAAAGGTCTCTGGTTTCTAGGCTACCACATTTCCTGAGTAGATGATCCTTTGACAAAGTAATTTGAGTTGTCCTGGCTTCTTTCAGAAGGAGTCATTGAAGAAGATGATACATGTGTTAGTCGAGACAAATCTCCCATTTCATTTCAGGGTCACATGTGTGCACATATGCATGCATGTCTGATGGTGCAACAGCATTTGAATTACGTCTTTGGAACTCTTTGCTCCTATCTGTTTACCCAGTATCTCCACCATCAAATCAGAGCTTAGGCTCCTCATCACTTTTGCAATCATCACAGACAATTAGGATTCAATAGAAGGAGATAAACTGAAATTTAATTCTAAGCAGCAGCTCAATCCAAACTCCTAAAATCTGGCTGGGTGGGGCGGTAAAGTGTTTTGATGGTGCAGGAAGCGAGGGAAGGAGTGCCCTAGGAAATCATAACAAAGAGTCTTAAGCAAGTCCTTTGGTCGACAACTTTATCCAAGAAACCATCTTCTCTGGAGGCTGTTTTAAACCTTAGACGAATCCTCTCCTTGCCACAGAAGTCCTTTTGTTGGGAGGAATTGTAAGTGAACACAGGAGTGACAGGCTTCCGTAAGCACAAGCCCAGACTCTGAATTCTTTCCATTGTCACTCTCCCGTCTGTCCCGTTGTCCTTCCTGCCAGGGATCTATCAGATAACGAAAGGGACAGCATTACTCAGAAGTCCTCTTCTCAGACTGTTTCAGGATGTCTAATGTTTGAGCCAATCACTGTGAAATTCTAGGCAAATGACAATAGCAATAGCCTTCCATTGCTTTTCCTTCAAGTATGATGTACCGTGGACATAATACATTTAAAATATTTCAGGTCACAGGTGATATTTAAAATCCTGGTCCAGTGTGGAGTTAAATTAGAAACTTCTCAGTAAGCTGAAGCAAATTAAAACAGAAACAGCAGTAATGCAGCCCTGGACGTAAATGAAGAATAAACAAAATAAAAATAATAATAATGACATTGTACAGATTGAGTAAGGAAAATCTGTTAAAGATTATTGCAAAGTTATTGATGGAATTATATCTATTGATAGAAAAGGTGATAATAAATGGTAACAGAGGCAGCATCTTACCCTTGGTAATAAGAACTAGGTAAACTTTTAAAATAATCAAAATCTCTCTTTGGATCTACAGACTATAGTTGCACCACTTCACACCCCACTGTTCAAAACACACCGAGCTTTGAAATAAGATGTGTAAAGTGCCTGGCACATGGTATATGCACAGTAAATCTTAGTCCCCTCTATGTCTCCACTGTGGACACCATATACATTTTTACCAGACCTGAAACTGACATTTTGAGGGTCTTTTAAGAGTCTTAATGTTGAGGCACTGCTGGCAGTTATAAGTCCTAATACCCCAATTTACATTTTGAATCTCTTGAAAAGTGAATATTTTAACATAAATTCAATTTAGTGGAAAAGACTTTCAGGCCCCAAGTGTCCGCTGATTACCACTTTAGTCTCTTTAACTTCCAGATTTTGCTGATACCAAGCCATTTATTAAGCAGTTTAATTGCTTTAGCTTTTCCCTTTTGTGGTTCATCTCCGATGGGTTTTATCTCCTTGCATTAGTACCAGGGGCCCAGGGACATGGTGAGATTACTCCAGTAGAGGCCCCCGCCCTCCTTCAATTGTTGGCATAGGCATCACGTTTGCCACCCTGCATTTAACCAATTTTCCATTGTGACCAATTCACATCTACAGGGAACAAATCTTCGTGAAAAGTCACTATTGGTCAGAGAGGCAGGTTCTAAATAAAACAAAATAACAACAATAGAAGTGATAAAAATGCTTAATGTAGCACCACCATCTGAAACCATCTCCATCCCTGTCGTTGTTAATTCTATGAAGCACAAATCCCACACTGTTTAGAATGTAGCTAAAGTAATTCTATTCTCATAACTAGTGGGTTTTAAATGGCATAATTACACAGTATAATCTCTGCCCTAGAAAACATTCTGCTGGGGAAATTTCACATTATTGTATTGCCGGTTGTAATTCCAATTATATATTGTCAAAATACAAACTTAGGTAGTTCATAAAATGCTCTGAGGAATAGCTATAATTCTAAACATCCCTGATCTTTCCAAATTTCTAAGATTCTTATAAGTTCCAGAGGGGAGACTCCTAGATGTGTACATCATGTCTTTAGATATCAACAGCCAAGGAGAGAGCCGAGACAAAGTGGCAAAGAGCTGAATCCTGCCATGTGAACAAAGTTGGGGGGTGGGGGAGTATGCCAGTGGTGACCATTCAGGTCCCAAAAGTTCTGTTAGGAAGCAGAGCCAAGCGTGGTTGCCAAATGGGTGGCCAAATCATAGTCTAAGGTTTGTGGCTTGGGATCTAGCCAGAGTCACCTAAAAGGATGGATGGCTGGCTGGCTCTATGCGTGGGTCCCACCTTGAGTCCTCTGTTTAGATCACTTTCCCCTCTGCCCTCCACGGAAGGCCTGGTGCGAGAAGTGCTCTTGTAGCATCGAGGGATGTCTGTACTACGGTAGCTTTGGGGGTTGCCCCACCTGGCTTCCTGTGCCTACAGCAGAACTACCTTTAGGGTAGCTTTGGGGGAATCCTTCATAGCACCTCTTCCTCCTCAAGATTACTGTGGAAGGCTGGGCTACCCCTGGTTGGTAGAGGGGACACTTGAGAGCAGCTGTGTCTGGGACATTTGTGGATGACTCCTGAACTCACCCTGAATGAAAGGACTCCCTGTAACAACTCCCAGAAGGTGTAGTCTAAGAAGCCTGTAGTAGTGATGACTTGACTCTCATTGGCCTCTAAAACCGCCTCCTGGTCAGGGCCAGGCTCTGGACCAGGTCTTCTCTGGCATATGGAGGCAGGTCAGGTGGTCACTTGCACCACCACAGCGACCAAGCATCCTGGCTCACCTGGAACTGGGTCAGTTTTAGCACCAAACGTCCCACAGTCCCAAGACACCCCAGGGACATGGTGACCAATTCTATGAAGCACAAATCCCACACTGTTTAGAATGTAGCTAAAGTAATTCTATTCTCATAACTAGTGGGTTTTAAATGGCATAATTACACAGTATAATCTCTGCCCTAGAAAACATTCTGCTGGGGAAATTTCACATTATTGTATTGCCGGTTGTAATTCCAATTATATATTGTCAAAATACAAACTTAGGTAGTTCATAAAATGCTCTGAGGAATAGCTATAATTCTAAACATCCCTGATCTTATGAGAATAGAATTACTCCCCCAGGCTCAATGCACAGGGAAGTTTTAGCACCAAACGTCCCACAGTCCCAAGACACCCCCAGGCTCAATGCACAGGGATGGTTGGTCACCCTGACCTTTGATTGTGTCCTATTGGCGGACAGAGGAAATGCTGTAGTTAAGGGAATACAGTATGACAGCTGTAACCCTTTATTCCACGCATGTCAGCTGAAGGCTTCACCATGACCTTTGTCTAGGAGCCTTGCCACTCCTCTGGGAGTGGGAGAGACAGGTGGTGCCCAGCATCGCCCTCTTTCACAGCCGGAGGAGGCAGGGCCGCCTGTCCCTAGAGAGGGAATGAAGCGCCAGACACAGGGCAGAGGTGCTCCGGGTCTGTGAACCAGGGTCTCCCCTCCGGGCGGCGATCACTTCTCAATCCTGCCCACTAGGAGCCTCTCTGTTGGGACCACTTACCTGAAGGATCTGGGCGATGTTGCCCTTCCTTTTCACCAGCATTTGCTAAAGTGGCCTGTGCGGTGACCTTTCCGGTAGGAAGCCAAAAGGTCATACATTTCTGGCTTCAGCCCCACTCCTGAAACTGTAAACAAAGACTCCTCTGTATGGGAAAAAAGGAGAAAAGCACCAACGTATTATTTCCTGGGATTTCACGGTGTACATTTTATGTCTTTGTAATATTTGTCACCCGAAGAGACATCAAAATATGAGCCAGACGTACCCACCAATAAATTACACTGACTCATGGATAACTGACTTCACCGATTCTGCTAACATCTGTCAAGCGGCTCCTGTTCAATCTGCTTCAATGCATGTTTACCAAATGAACACTCGGGTAAGGCCTAGGTGTGGAAGGTGGTAAATGTAGGAATAGAACGGGGAGACACACACACTAACAAACAAGGGCCAAAAGTGCAAACAAAGAACCAGGACAGCCCTTCCCCTAAGTCTACAAGGAGCCTGGGAAACGCATGGGCAAGGCCCTAGGTGCCTTGAAGGATGGTCCCATCAATAGTCAAGGAATTCTAGGGAGGGCATTTCTGGCTGCGGGGTCAGCCTAAGGAAAGGCATGAAGGAAGCAAAGTGTTTGAGAGAATTGCCAGTAATTGTGCATGGTTAGAGCAAGGCGAACTGGAAGATAAAATCGGAAAAATAGGACTAGAAGGTGAAGGGAGTTAGTTATCAAGCCAAGGAGTCTGAACATTTCTCCCAGGGACGATAGGCAATGGGCGCCTTGCTGGGTTAGGTATGTTTTGGAAAGTTTCAGACCCTGTTACATTAGATACCTTTAGGCAATCTATTTAAATAGACTCTAAATGCAACTTTTGTAAATTAAAACTTTTTTTGAAAAAAGATATAGTACATTTGTCATCTGACTGATGTATTTGGGTAGCAGAGTGCGGGCAGTTCGTGTGATTGTAAATGCCCGTGTCTGCTAAGTGTGTTGTTCCCGGTGCTTCCTACGCTGACGTCATGGGCCGAGACCTCCTCAAGGTAACATGTTAAGGGGCTCATCTGCAGATTGTTCTATGTCTGAAGAAGACCTATACGAAACATCTTGGGTGGTTCCTGATACACGATATACTTTTAACAACTATAGCTGTTGTTACAAGCATCAGCAGAGATTTCAACTGAGCAAAAGTAAGAGGCGACAGCCACACTGTCACGGAGCACACCCACAACACCTCCTAGGGCATCTTTCCACACGGGCATGGCTTTGCCAGGCTCACAACCGGCGCAAACCCGTGTGGCTGTAAATGTCCCGCAGTTTACAAAAAGAGAAGCTTCTAGATCTGGCGCACCGAGGGCCTAAAACGCCTGAATAATATTGTTTGCTGGGAGCTGCTCACACCCGAAGGGAGGAACTAAACCTGCAGAGCGGGCTCCGCCTCGCTGGGCCTGCACTGACGCTGTGAGTGATCTGTGGCCTGGCCCCTTGGGCTTGGAAACACATATTTTCCAGGGTTGAAAGGGGAGACATCAAGTTTTGTTGATACGCCTAATACATTTCCAGAGGTGCATTTTAATATGCAATTTTATATTCAACTTCCTTTTTAGCTCATGCCATAGCATAAACAGTCAAGCAGCTAAAATAAACAGTGCAGAAACGATGGATTACTCTCAAATCAACACAAGTCCGAACCGTCTTGGGAACTTCCCTCAGGGGGGAGAGTCCTCTGGCCTTGGGGACAGTGACATGAAGGTCCCCTGAGGCTTCCTTGCCCCTCAAGAGCAGCAGCTTCTCAAAAGCAAGGAGAGAGGGAAGAGGGAGAGGGGGGAGAGAAAGGGAGTGAGGGGAAAAATAGGGGAGAGAGAGAGAGACAGAGAGAGAGAGAGAGAGAGAGAGAGACACTATCTGACGGAACAGTCCTGGGAAAGCAATCAGTTAATCAAAAGGATTCCAATTTGGCCACGGGCTGCCCCACTCTCCTTCCCAATTCATTGGGGGGAAAAAGGAAAGAAAAGAAAAGAGAAAAAGAAAGAAGGAAAGAAGCATCTGAGCAGCTATCCTGCAGCAATCTCACAAACGCAAAGCCTTCCACTGGCTGACTCCTCATTAGCTTACTGAGTCTGACAGCATAATTATCGCGGCCGCTCGCGCTTAGAATAAATAAATACGAAAGTGGGTGTTTAAACACTTTTTGAGAAGAATTTGCAGTCATCTAGACAGTCCGTAGGACAAGTTTATTTAAAACTTTTAGAGTTTTATGTATTCAGATCATTTCGGAACAGGATAATGAGATAGTTGTCTTTCAGTCTAATTGAGTTCCTAAGCTCCTGTCACCCCTTTCAAACTTTGCTTTAACTTTCCTTCCTTTAGAAATCCGATCCTGGTGTCTCCATTTACTCTTCCTGGCTGAGAACCGGGGGAAGGCGCAGGGCACTGGAGTGCAGAAAGCGACTTAATGGGATTGAGGAGCTAAATAACCTTTCAAGGAAACCGGATAATCAAATCTCTTCTACTTGTCTGTAATGGCTAAAAGAGAGAGCACAAGTTAAAAAGAAAGCTTGGAAATAAGACCATCATTTCAAAATGTCCTGTATTTTCTCGTGTCACGTGGTTTTTGCACGACTCTCACCCATCGTCAGCCCATCAGCCAGAGTTGCTAAGTGCACTGAATTATTCCGAGTGCACACAGCCGTGTGAGCACGCGGTCATTTTAGCTCGTGTGTATGCATATAAGCTTCACATCTGTAAAGCCCAAAGGATCATACGGGGCTTTAAATGGAAGTTGCTAACTAACAAGGAGTTCACTTAAACCTCTGAGTAGGGGCACAGCACATACGCATTTCCGATGAAAGCAGATGATCTTTCCTTATATAACTAACTAGTGCCTATTTATCTTTTCCTCTCCTTCCCACCTCTCATTCTCCCAGGACCAAATTTATATGGACCCTTACATTCAGTGAGTTAAAAGCTTTATAAAATAAACATTCTGCCAATCTGGGACAAAGGAAACGAGTATTAACCCGTTGTGCGGGTTGAGAAATTGAGGTTTATGAAGGTCCATAATGCATCTTACATTGGGGGGAAAAGGAGAAATCTCAGGTCCTTTACTTCTCAATTCAGAGCTTAGACTCCCTGCAGCGTTTGCCAGACTTCATTCTTTTAACAATAGAGGCAATATAACATCAACATTAAAGAAAACTTTACCAGAGGAAAAAATTACCCACAATCCTCCTAAATTGGAAGAGCATTTTTATTTTTATATCCCACCTTTCCATTTTGTTGACATGTATAACGCGTTTCACAGGTGCATCATAATATGTAATTTGTATCCTACTTTTAGCTCATGTCATAGCATAAACATTTCCATATTACCGCACACTCCTGTGAATGATTTGAAATGGTAATGTAGTACTGTGCGCTGAGTCAGTACGCCAATGTTTGTTCAATTGGTTCTCTAGTGTTGAATAGTTAGATTGTTTCTTTCATTTTTATTTTGTAATTTTTCAAAATCGTAGACAACACTGCAATGAACATTTTTATGCACAGAGGGGTTTTTTTTCCCTGTTTAATTGTGGGTTTTTTTTTGTATAATTTCCAGGAAACAAAGTATAGGGTTGAAAGTTGTGACCATTTTTATAACTGCTGATATGTATGCCATAATGCTTTGCAAAGATTTCCCCAACTGACACCAACATGAGCAGAGAATTCTTTTACCATAATCTCACAAACACTAGGAGTTATTAGATTAAGGGAAAAAATGAACTAATTTAACATTTATTTGTATTTATTTAATCACCAGTAAGACTGTCTATTCATTCCATGTGCTGATATATTTTTTTCCCTTTGCAGAAATTGCTATTTTATACCTTTGCCCAATTTTCCATTGGATTCCCAACATTTTTCTTATAAAATTGAACGAATTATAGTGAAACAAAAAATAAACCACCATTGATTAAGAAATTGAAAAACCCAAGGTGATTTTTGTATTAAAAAAAAAGAACAGAAACTAAAACAATAGGCCAGGGGTCTCTGTTAAACATAAATGGAGCCCTCTTCATTGTGAGATATTAGACATGTTACCTGGGGACATATGGAAACTTTCCTGGGAAGGCTTTAAAATAAACATAGATAGAACATGAGACCGTGGAAAGGTCATGGGAATCAAAATCTTGGTTCCAATCTGCATTTTGCTACTAAGTTCCCATGTGGTCGTTAGGGAGCAGCAATAAGTAAAATGAAAGAGTGGCTTGAGAGTCTGAAGTCCAATCTTGGCTCTCCCACTTACTAGCTGTGTAACTCGGAGCAATTTACTTAGCCTCTCTCAGACTCAGTTTTCTAATCTACATATATAAAAGGCTAATATGCAAAGTGTCCCCTTGGGAGTTTGACCGGGAGACTGGTATTTCCATCGATCACTATGACGTGTGCTGACCACCAGGGGGTGGCCCAGAACAAAGAAAGGCCCCGGCCGGCAGCCGGCAGCTGAGGAAGGAAGGCCCCGGCTTGCTGGTCCTGATTGGCCCTGATCGCCAGCCAGGCCTGGGGACCCTACCCGTGCACGAATTACGAGGATAAGAATGCCAGCCTCACCCATTAGTGTATAGATTAAATAAGAATTTATGTAAAGCACATAGATGTCCAACAAGTGGCAACCACTCTTATTCTTCCCTGGGTGCCAGGGATTCATCTATGATCTTTATATGATGATTCTATATAAAGACGAGAATGTGAAACAGCAAGTCTCTAAGATCCTTTTCCACTCAAAGGTCTCTAATTCTTTCTTGAAAGGTTTGTCTTTACTTGGAGACTTTTTCATGCTAACAAATTGAACCAATTTAAGGGCTTGGTGGGGCTGAGCGACTTGGTTGACCCAGACTTCTCCTAGCAACACAACCGTATGCAACCCCATGAGCTGGGTCTCAATCCAACATCTCACCTAATGGACTGGAATGGGTTGAGGACAACTTTGGGCATAGAAGGTGAAGAGGTATGTTATGGAGGACACTTCTTAACTTGCTTCTTGAGTACTGATTAATAAAGGATTTAAAAGGTAGAGGGAGTTTCTGAGTTAGGTGACAAACTCCCAGAGGCAGAATAGAGTCCAGAGACCTGGTTTAGAATCTCCCTTCTCTCTTCCCTGCCAACCCCTC